TAAAAATAAATAAAATTAAAATGAAAAACTATACCAAACTCAATTAATTTTAGGCCATTTTCACTGCAAGCTAGATATAACAAGCCAGAATGTTGCATTCGAGCGTTACCGACTGCAGAATACTCATTCACATCCCCTAAATTCCGTCATATCTGATTGATTTTGGACTGTAAATTATATGAATTTCAAGGCCTGAAACCATTAGAAATATGAAATCATCAATAACTATTCCCGTTTATTTCTCGTACACTTTTAGAGCTGAACTCCAAATTTTCTATATATAAAATGAAAGAATATCTATATAAAATGAATTAAAACTGAATGAATTTGTCCGATGATAATTTAGCAAAATTAAATAATAAATTGATTTCATTTTAGCTACGATCTGATCGAGTACGTCTAATCGAGTAGTGCAGTGGCCTTGAGGGTAAAGGCGCTGCAAGGATAGCGCAGGCTCTAATCTAGCCAATATTCCATTCATGTCAATTCTTTCTATGAATAAGCGATTTTATTGGAACGATGCGAGCTTAAATGTTTGTTTTCCTAGTCGAGCATTTGTTTAAGTATTTATTGTATAAACATACAAATGCTTATATGTGTATGTGTGAATAAAAAATTTCAAATATGCCAGCGAGTTTTATGCAATTGCAAATGCTTATTGCAGGTAATTCCAAGAATCTCAATTACGCTTGAATCGTCTTTGGTTTCGTGTTAGTTATTGTTTAAGAGTGCGATGCAGAGACGGTGCACATCACACGTGCTCGAATCCCGCCGATGTTGAGTGTTTTTTATCTCTTTTAATTTTGGCAAACATTGCTATTAGAAGTGCGACTACGAATCTTGCTGAAAATTGATTTTTACTCAAAGATTTTTATCTCTATAATTTAATTTATATTTTTCATGTTTTTTAATGTTTCCTTCTATCTTATCAAAGTCTATTAAACTTATGTGTAGTTGACACACGCATAAGAATTTCGCAGCTGGGCGCCGTTTTCGTCACGCCCCTGGTGGACGTAGACAAAACATTTTTGCCCGGTTATTAAAAGAAGCCGCGAGCAAGGCAACTGTAAAATTAGGATGCTGAAAATATGTGCAAATTAAAGGGTATTTTTCGATGTGCCACGCCCCTAAAGGGGCATAACATATTGGATTGGATTGGATTGGATTAGATTATTTTAGGTTATCGATAGGATGAGGTTATAAGTAACTCAACTATCCTAATGTGGAACATCTAGCCGAAAAACTATAAGAGGTTTAATCTATTCCCAATTGCCAGTATAAACATGTCTTAAGTAGAATCTATATTTAATTGGGATCAACTAGGAATTGCTCTAAGCTCCAAGTTGAAGTTTGACTTCAGTTCGGAGTAAATCGCAGAGTTTGGCATCTAATAACTATATAGTCAATATAGATATTTGACTAGAATACTATTTGCCAACTAGACAGGAAACAGAAATTTCAAGTTAGGATCTAATACTACTTGGAAATCAATAATCACATTGTTGATTAAGACAACCTTTAAAGCTGTTTAACTGTAAAAACTTTATCGCAAATTAAAGAAACTCTGACTGAGAGAAAGAGAGAGAGCGAGAGAGAGAGAGAGGGTAAATGAATAAATAGCCTGGAGCAAGGCCGACAACTGGATTGACTCCGCCACGTCTATTAGAAAGCGAAAGCTGAGCAAACAACAAAAATCTTGTTACGAAAACGTTTTGATAAACGAGTCTTCATACATCGAGAGAAGCTGAAGCATCTGATAGACAGATTCATTAAGTAAACAAGTAAAAGTGCTCGACTAGAATATACCCCAAAACAGCTGCTATTCTAATCCCTATACACATATTTTCTTGTGAATAATACAAGTTTACGCACACTTAGTATATAAAGATTACTCTGAGAAATTTATTGTGGAAGAAATTTTCAAAGTTTTTGAAACGAGATTGCCCTACAGATAAGTAATATTTCATTGAATTATATTTGTATTGCTACGACTCCATCTGCCATACATTGCGACTAACCAATATACCGAGAATTCTAACTTGCAATGGGTATTAAAAGCCACAGGCAAGCAATTTTAATGAATACCTTTTTTTTACCTGTGTTGCGACAACGCTCAGTGCTGGAACATGGAGTGTGCGAACGCAAGAGCAAAACAAAGAATGGCTACAATTGTAGTAGTCCAGTAGTACCGCCTATGAAATACCCTGTAGCTGGATATAAATACTAAATTTATGCTGATTTTTACTACTTGTTAGTTAGTTGTTCCTAGAGCATATTAGGGCAATCGAAACTATTTTTTTTTTTTTTTTTTTTTTTTTAACAAAATTAAAAATTAAATACTGATCTTTTGCTGATTTTTAATAATATTTGTATTTTTGTTTAGTATAAAATTTAGAAACCTAGTTTAAATATTTATTTCCCCTTTACACAGATTGTATATCCATATGTCAAATGAAAGCTCTGCGTAGTCTATCACTCAGACAACTCCATTTATACCCTGTAAAACGTTGCCTACGTAAACGAGTCATTTTTGCTATGTTCGCGATTTTCGCATTTGGTATTCTTGTTATTGCTGCTGAATCAGTTTCTATCTTGTCTTACTTAATAGAGTTTAGCGCCTAAAATACTGGGTCAGTGGAATAACATAACAAGCAAAAAAAAATCAAAATAAAAATGGAAATAGTAAAGAACCCAAGTAGTAATAGTGGTAACAAAGAAGAAGAAACAGAGTATGAGCAACAAAGTGAAAGCATATAGAAATACAAAACGAAAAGAGAAGAGAAGAAATAGATAATGTGCCCAGAGGAAGTACGACTTGCTTGTCTTGAGTTTCCAAATGGGCTCTAGGGTACGCCCATTTCCTAAAAGCCATCGAACAGAATGACTTATTACAAATTTGTATTACACTTTTATCAGCAACTAAGAATTTCAATTGTATTCTTCTTTCACTGCCACGAATAGGTTTATGCCATGCTGACTTAAATTTCGAATGAACTCTTCCAAGAAAACCAGGAAAAGAAGCAAAAAACATGTCGCATCATCATACTAAATATGGAATCATATCAGAATATCATTACACATTTGTCGTATGCTATCATTGACTGTCGGTTTTATGTGGCTTAGTAGAAAAGTCAATTCAAGGAATTTTAGATATATATATATACACATACATATATGATATATATTGATATATTATTGAGTTATT